AGCAACAAGTAATCCTGTTTTCTTTGTGTCGTCTCTTGTTTCATAGTTTTATGGATTATAATTATGATTATAGATGATCGACTCACATATTTACGATTATTTACCAGCCTCTGATCATCATAAAGATCAATGTTCATGAATGTTTTGTATAACTTTGAGCAAAACAGGTTTTAGCACAGAGATGATCATTTGTACAAATAGACATAAACTAAAAACAGGAAAAACGTGTTTTTATTTCGCTTTTCTTCTTCTTTTTTTTTGTCTTTTCTCGTTTCATTTTTCTTATTTCATAATTTTTTTTCCCTGTAACATATTTTAAATGCATGTGTATCAATTCTACATCACTCAAACGATCGTTCGTCTCTCAACTGTCGGCTTTACAACTCGAATAGTTGCACTTTTCTGTTGTTGTTGTTGTTGTTTTTTCTTCTCCTATTGTAATTCATTAGTTTATAGATGTAGCATCTTTGTTTTGGCGATTCTACCAGTACTTTTCTGTTTGTAGATTTGATTGTATTTGAGCCAAAATAAGAAGAAGAAGAAGAAGAAGAAGAAGAAGAAGAAGAAGAAAATGAACTGTTTCAAAGCGATCTATCTAACATATTCTCTAATGCTGTTATTGTCAAGCAACGTTACATATGTCTTCACACTATCGATGATAACGAGAGCATACAAACGTCGAACAAAGAATCCACGAAGATACGATTTTCATCCGCCTGATTTTACCATACCGACATTTCTACTACAACGTGACAAACAACACCTATCTACGAGCATAGCATCCAACTTGACACAAGATCGTAACGGTAACTCTACGATTGATTGGATCACAATGAATACAACGATGTCGTGGTCGTTCATGTCGACGTATAGTTCAAAGTCAAGTGTTCTACAAAATACTACCACGAATGGCTATTATCGTTTAGCTAGTCAATCGACACCAGTATTTTTCAATTCGTTCATGTCTTTTCTACTCTTACACGAATCATCACATTTATGGAAATATATACTTTATTTTACATTTATTTGTGTTTTGTTATCTATACTTCGAATGATCATTCGTCATCTGACTGCTTTCTATCGTACTTATTTTCAAACGTCTCATTATCAAATTTCTTCACATGGTATGTCGTCGTCGTCGTCGTCGTTCTCTTTGCATTCTTCCATATAACTCATATATATATATATATACTTGANCTTACACGAATCATCACATTTATGGAAATATATACTTTATTTTACATTTATTTGTGTTTTGTTATCTATACTTCGAATGATCATTCGTCATCTGACTGCTTTCTATCGTACTTATTTTCAAACGTCTCATTATCAAATTTCTTCACATGGTATGTCGTCGTCGTCGTTCTCTTTGCCTTCTTCCATATAACTCATATATGTACTTGACAAACGTTTTCTATACAGGTTGTCGCTCAACTTCTTCACAATATCCGAGTCAAACAGATCAAAACACTGTGGTCACTCGGAATCATATGGAGCTCGAGCATCATGATTCATCTTCATTGGCGTCGAATCAAATCTTATTAGCCGGCACAATTCTTACGTTTCTACCTGATCCAGTGGAAAAACAGAACAATCCATAGTAAAAGAGCGAAAAAAAAAACACGAGTGTCCCATACAAATGTCACGTAGGTATGAAGGTAGCTAGCTAGCTCGCTCGCTCGCTCTATCTCTCCTTGTACATTGAGATCATTAAAGTACGTCTACATTTCGAACAAATAAACTTCGCTCAAAACATTGAAGCTAGTCCATATTGTTCTATTATTTTGCTATTCCCTACAAAAATTTGTCTGTTCTAGATGACTATTTAAAACATTCTTGAACTTTTTCTCCCACTCCCATGAACTCGAACTACGAATCAATCTTACTAGCAAGCAATTGAAATCAAGACACGCTGAACAGTGATAAACGACTCGTTATCATCATCATCATCATCATCATCGACGACCACAACAACAACATATCTACGCTCTAGTGAATAATAGAGTACTGAATTGTAAGTAGATCCACAAGATATTGTCGTCCGAATGGAACACTTTCCATTGTCGCATGACGTAATGATTCATCTGTTTTGAGAACGAACAAAAAACACGTTGTCCCTTGTGAACCGTTTATTTTCTTTTTTGCTTTCTTCTTCGAAGATCAAAATATATACAAAATGTCAACTCGTCATGAATCATTATTCGACCGTGCAGATCATTCCATTGACAAATGAGATTCTACCTGACATGGACGTCCATCCCGAAGTAGTCACCCGTCCTTCAATCAATAGATCATCCTCAAGATACCTACGATTGACAACGGCACCTTATGTGTCAACTACACTACGAGGCCCAACGGATCGATATCGTATTCTACCAGCTTACCCAACATCGATTTTTAACGATCAACCCTCATTATTATTACCCAATGTACCAAGTAGAGTCAATGTTTTGTTTTCTTCTTTCGTTTTGACAACTCTCTCTCTCTCTCTCTCTCTCTCTCTCTCTTTCTTTCTTTCTTTCTTCCCCCCCCCACCCATGTCTGCATCCTTCGTGTCATTTCCTAGGAAATAAGCTCAGCGAAGAACAATTAGCATGTCGTACAAGTGGTCACTATCCATTGATATATACACTGGAGTCATCCTATTTCGATATTCCATCGTATTTTCGCAATGACTACCAAGAATATATCAGTTCTTTGATCTATAAGTACAATATCGATGAGCCTATTTTGGATTACAATTTAGCTCGTTTCAAACAATGCTATGATACATTCATCGATGATTATTGTTATCATCATAGTTGTTCACCAGAACATTTCGAACTGAATACGAAACAAAAGAATTATGCAGTGGAATTCTATCTACAAATGGATGGTGAGCACTATTTGATGTAATAAGATTTCATTGCATTGTTGTTTCTTCTTCTTCTTCTTCTTCTTCTCCTCCTCATCTAGTCGATCTTTTCTTTATGAAAACATGTTCGTATCGATCAGCGACCGTTCGATCTGATCATGAAGGTCTCTACTGTATGGATGAACCAGAAGCGCGTTATGGCCTGTTACCTTGTAACAAATGTTCACTTTGTCGTCAATCGACTTGTCTGACACTTGTACAGTCGTCGTCGTCGTCGTCGTCGCCACCGCCACCACCACCACCACCACCACTAACAACAACAGCCGTTCAATTTGGGCCCAAGCAAAGATATCGTTTTATGAATCACTATGAAACGATTCTCAATTGTCCAGCTACTTGTCAAACCCGAAATATCATTTATGTCTTGACTTGTTCATGTCGGACTGCGGAATATATTGGTGAAACGAGTCAACGGTTAAGTGATCGTTTGTGGCGTAAGTACTCGCTCATGCTTGTTTAATTTCTTCTTCTTCTTCATTTCATATCTCTTCTCGTCGTACAGATCATCGTCAGCATTTCAATCGTATTTTTCACGAGTTTCTAATCGGTGAACGCAATGTCAAACTTAGTCAGTCTGCAGCAAAAAGCGTTGAGTATGTAATACCATCTAGCCACACCCATCCGTCAAAACTAGTCCTTTCTTTCTTTCTTTCTTTCTTTCTTTCTTCTTGTCCTTCAGAACAATAAGAAAGGATCGCATGCGTCTGTATCGGCATGCGACACGTTGTCCACATGCAATGCAATTATTTGTGAGCTATAATCCAATCTATTCATGCTTCATACCAGTCGCTGTCAATGAAGCTATTCGACAGAATCGAACTTATATTCTACCGCCATCAATGATCGTACACGATAAGATCCAGCCCACGTCCATAGGCACACGAAATCGTCATCATCGACGAGCCACATCAACGACACGTTCCGATGAAGCAGCTCGATCATGTATGCGCAATTTGCCACCATCACCCACCGGCTATACATTTTCAATTCGTCAACGTATTGAACAATTCCAATATTTTAAACAGCAATCCGATATTCACATAAAACCAAATCAATCGAACAATCTATTTAATTCAACCATCATTGCCGTTTGTAAGTAAGAAAAGAACGAATATCACTAGAAGAGATATGTTTTCGTTGTTCGAATGCAATACTCGACACTGTTGTATGTATTCGTAGTACCAACGGATGCAGTGGATATTGTTCGACGATTTGTTGAAGCGTTATTTATTACACATACTGAAGCCAATCTAAATATTGCTGGCCGATTATTCAATAATAGACAAACGAGTGACGCTTACAAACTGACGACGAACCTTTCAAGCCATGCTGAGATCCAAATGTCGATGGAAGAACAAATAGAAGATCGTGGTAATTGGTGTCACAATCTTCTCGTCTAAATTTTGATATCGTTCACATGAAATCCTTTGCCTGTCGTTTTCCTTCATCAATCTATTCACCGTAACCCTCAAGATGCATTCGAATAGATTTCAGGTCGTTAGAGATACTCAAGTGACGTCTTCTGTAAGTACTTCTCTCTCTCTCTCTCTCTCTCTCTCTCTCTGTCTGCGTGTATATGTTGATAGTTATGTTCGATTCGTCATCACTCTAGATATACTCAATCGCAAAACACATTTCTGTTTGTGTCTTTTGATTGACTATTTTAGATAGTTTTTCTTTTTCCTCTCATCGACATCGATATTCAATAGATAGATATTCAACATTGAACTTGTATATGTTTGTTACAAACGAAAATTAGCGATATCGACTAGTTCTACGTCGGTCACGGATATATTGTTCACAACGAGAACAAAATATAGCACACAATCAACTGTCACTCCTCATTTAACCACTCTTTCGAACATCTAGGTATGAAGTGAATCGACTTATGTTCGATGGGTATGTATAATAACGTGTCCTATTCTATTGTATTAGATCATACACGAAAGCGTACGCCTGTTCGTCGTGTTTCAATATTGACAATCTTTCTTGTGCAAACCCATCAACGCCATTGAACTTGCGACGACGATACTTCTTTTTCGACTGCGTACAATGTCTCACCCTCAAGATAAGAACGCGAACCTACTCTCATGTACTATTATCGATAATAATAATCAACAGGAGGAGGAGGAGGTGGAGGCGGAGGAGAAGAAGAAGAAGAAGAAGAAGAAGAAGGTAGCCATCGTCATTGTTGCGGACGGTGGCGATGTTAAATTGAAAGAAGAATTACTTAATCAGAAAGTAGTGGATGACCGGCGCGTCGAACAACCTCAACATCAAAGTCAATCGATTCCAGTTCGTCAACTGGTCAATGATAAAGTTGCTGATAGTCTCGCACAGTCATCAACGACTATTCCAAAAATTAGACCGTCAAAAGTGATGACAACTATGCGAGCGCTAGTAAGAGAAATGCGTCAACAAGATGCAGCAATGGCAACGCGAATACGTAACCATATGGACAAACAGTATATCTGGCCGTATTCATTTCCAAATTGTACACCAAACTTACGTGCGTATTATATACATGCGATCTATGTCTATCGAGTTTTAAAAAAGACAAAAAAACAATAAACAAACAAAACATATTTTATTCATTAGGTAAAGTAGTGGATCGATGGATTCGAGATCATTTCTTTCGTACCGAACATGCAAAATGCTTAATTTTAATTGGACCAACGGATGCTGGAAAGACATCATTTGCAATGGCATTACCTGGTCCTGTCAACTATTATTCAGGACGATGGTGTTTAGATACCTGGAATGACCATGCTCGATATTCTGTCTATGATGATATTCCATGGGATAAATTTGAGAAACTTAATTTTCCTAACAAAATGCAATTGCTTACTCAACATCCAGATCGCATACCGGTTCGCTATGAATGATCATTGAATTTGAGATGAACTGCGTTTCTCTCTCTCTCTCTCTCTCTCTCTCTCTCTCTCTCGTTTATAGGCTACGGATAAATATCGTCACAAGAAATACATCAACGTTGCACAACCAGCCATCATCTTACTCAATCCCGCGGATGCCGGTTCATTACTTCGGGAAAATACGGCTCGTGTTCAACATGATCTAATTGACTATTGGAAAGAGAAAGCAGTCATCTATAACATGGGTATGGTATTAAAGTAAAAACAGTTTCTGGTCAGAATGTTTTGTTTCCTTCTTTCAGGTCGTGACGAATATTTCGCCAGGCCAACATCATCAGAGAATGACTCGCTCACTGATGGCGACTATATGGCGAGTATCACTTCCATTACGACGAACGATCCAATTGATTATCGTCATCTTCCTCCTCCTCAAGTCTTCCAACACACCGATGAGCACGATGATGAAACACATTCTGTCGAAAACGAACCATCAGCTACTACGACTGACGACTCATTTGATTATAGTCAATCAGAAGAATTCCAACAAATGTATCAAAACTATTATAAAACACACTCTGACAAAAATCAACCATCAGCCACCGCCGCCACCACCACCACCAGCACTACCACTACCACCACTGACGACCCATTTGATTATACTCAATCAGAAGCATTCCAACGCATGTATGAACGCTATCATAAAACACATCCAAAATGATTCCTATACAAAAACAAACGACATTCCTCTTGAATAGACAAAACTCTTTCTTCTTCCTTCTCTCTCTCCCTCTCCCTCTGCTAGCTCTTTTACTCACTCACCCTCACTGAAACTTCTATACAATATACTCAAGATCATCATCTCATTGGTAAAACCTGAATAATTTGCCATCTGAGGACTTCTTTTAAACAGACTTTTCGTCCATAGTTTAGTCGATTTTGCTACTCAGAAAGCCATGAAGCCATCTGATGATTCCCTTGTGTGAGACGGAACTCACTCATCCTGGAAAAGGCCGACACTCGAGTGATAGATAGCACGAAGATACGTCAACAAGAGTCATATATGCAATTTGCAACTTCAATTCAAACTATTCAATTATTGTTTGATGTTCTTGAGTATTTATGTTTAATTCCATTCTTCTATTTCTCGAAAAGATTGACAGTTTGAATAATTGCATTGAACACTCACACCCTCTGATCAAACTATGACAAACAATTGCTCTCTTTGTATCGGACAACCTGAATGACACAAATTATCTTTGGTGATCTATGGAGCAGGTTCGCTATTGGTTACATTGTTTTGTTTTTCTGTCTGTGTTTGTTTGTTTGTTTTCAATTAGATCTAGTAAAGAACACAATTTACTAGTGACTACAGGATTTCTTTCGACAAGCATTTCAATCTATTGACGTCTTCAAACTCAAACATTTGTCTTTGTGTGAATACTCTAAAAAACCTGAATTAGAAGAGCAGAACACTATGATGGTTTTCTGAAAAACCCTTTTTCAATAATTATCACATTCCTAGAAATCTCCTGTACGATTCTTTTCCTATGATGATCAGTTGTTCATCATTGGCGTTATCCATCCTACACACACACACACACACACCCTCGTCTGAATGATCAGAAGATCACTCGAAAAATTCGGGCTGGTATGCGAAGCACAGATTGAAGGTTCTTTGCAAGATCCGACCACACTAGGCAACGCACGCCTACTAGAAAACTCGACTAGTTGAACAGATAATTGAATAGTTGAATTCAATGTTCGAGTTTCGCACTCATACATGATCGTTACCTTATGAGATGGAGAATGATGCGTTTGCGTATGGCAGTGTCGTTGGTAAATGAATATAATTTTTATTTTTCCGTTGACAGGTGAGATGTGAAGAAATAAATTAACGAAAATTTAATATTGATTTTTCTTTCTTTCTTTTTTCCTTGGCTCTTAGAATGATTCGAGAAGAAACGCTTGAAACTACGATTCAACAAGAGAAAAAGTAGTTCTTTCATATTGAATGGCTCATCCGTCTGTATCTGATATGGATTCAACACACAAAGAAATGGAATACGAATGAATGCTCGAGATACACGATATACAGTATGGCCGCAAATAGGACAACACATGGATAGTTTTCTCGTTTTTTTTATTCTTGGATTATTTCATTGTTCTACTATTCGATTTTACTCATCTTTTTCTTACTCAAATCATTCGTATAATTATTATCTGATTTTACTCACAGTAGTCATCTATTTGTTTGTTTGTTTTTGTGTCGTCTATTGTAGATTTCTTTGACGAAGATGGCTTCGATTAATACTATCGATTTAGATCGATGCGAACAAGCGCTTTCGACATTGGTACCGAACAACAACAGCAACAACGATGTTTCTACACGTCGATATCAACCGCGAACATTAAATGAACATAATCAGTTTCGAACTATATTCTTACCATTCTATCCGAAACTCGATTGTTATATGCCTGATTGGTTACTGTTGGCGAGTGTTCCACGTATGTATTCGATGTTTAGTTTCTACTCTGTATGTATGTGGATATATCTAGAAAGCCAACTTTCAACACAAGAGACCGCTCGACGTCAACACGGAGCATACACAGCAGATGCATTGATGATGATGAACAAGTACCGCTATTCGAATTATGAACTATTGCATTTATCGGAACAAGATGCGATCGAATTAGCAACTCGTTTAAATGTCGGCCAATCAATTATTACCTTCAATGCAACACGAATGCGTGGTATTAGTATGCAACTATTCGAGTTACATGGATCATTTCGACGGCGAATTCTACGAACGCAACATGAGCCGTTGAGAGGACTTGTTTTAACTTCAAACGAGACAGCCATTGCATTGGAATTCTTCTTGCAAATAGACGGTAACGAGTGCCAATTTGTCTAGTCCTTTTGCGTTGTTTAACATCGCTCTTTTTCATGTTTAGTGGACGTTTTCTATATGAAAACATGTGCATATCGTGGAGCTGATCCATCTCAATTTCATATACGAGGCTTATTTTTCGAAAACAACGATGAACCACAAGCACGATATCAGATGAAGCCATGCAATAGTGATTCTTGTCAATTCTGTCATCCACGCGAGAATCAACTGGAAGGTCAAACATGGGTGCCGATTGATTTCAATACAACTTCAATGCATCAATTTCTCAATGGTTACACAACATACTTGAATTGTCCAGCCGTATGTTTTGCTCGTTCGTTCTACGTTTTTTCACCAACGCTCTATATTTCAATGATTGCTAATTTAGACGTGTACAACGACGAATATTATCTACTCGATGACATGTCCTTGTGGTGAATATGATTACATCGATTCAACAAAAGATACCTTAGCTCATGCTCTGTCATGTAAGAACTATCTCACAAATGTATACATTGAGTTCATTATACATGTCATAGATCATCAACAACATATCAATCGAATTATGCACGAAAAATTAACGGGAAATTCGCTTTATCCCGGCATTCCACCGCCCGAGTCACTCGCGCAAGAGTAAATACAGAATGAACATGAAACAAATCGGTTCATAGATGTACGATAGACATATTGTTTTGTTGTTGTTGTTGTTGCTCTTCTAGATATGAACGAGCGGACAAGATGCGTCTCTATCAACATGCTGCACGATGTCCAATCGCATTACGTTTATTTCTTCGTCAAAATCCGTGCTATTGGTGTTTTGTTCCTCAAATTTGGCGTGATGCGCAAGTGGACAACATGGACTATTTACAAGGGTCTAACGCTGCTGGTTTCCATACGATCGATCTTCAATCGCTTCGTATCATCGCAATGGTTACTTCGACCAATCGTCGACTAGCCATGTGTATTGATCGAGTACCATGGACGCCAGCTGCTTACGCATTTTCCTATTTGCAAAGAAAACAACAACGTGCATTTTTCGAACATCTTCTCACACTACCCATAGATGAACTACCATATTCGCCAGTTGATATATACAAGATAGCCATCATTGCTGTTTGTAAGTCCATGTTTATGAAATCGATACGAAACATTTCTTCAACCTATCTCTTTGTCTATTATTCATTCATCTAGTACCAGAATATTGTTCGAAACTCTTACGTTATCTAATTGAAACATTCTTTATTACTCATTGCGAAACTAAACTCAATATGATTTGTCCGAGTGGTGGTGATCCGGAGCGACGATTTGGTCGCGCATACGATCTCGTTTGGTGTTACAATTTGAACCGACCATTTGCTGCTATTCCACAACCACCAGGAAATCATTAATCCATGGTCTCATCGATTCCACATCGTTTGACAATGTTCAGATAAATCGACACTAGTCAATTTTTGAGTCACAGTGTTTAACGTTTTCTGCCTTATCGGAGAGAAGAACTTTTGTCTTTTTCTTGTTGATTTTTTTTTTCATTGCAAGCGTCTCTTTCTTCTCCACAATTCTGCTTGCAAAATGTGTCTCTACCGAAACTACACGAAAGTAGATTATAGTCCAAAGACATACATGTTTTACATAGTCCTAATCTTAGCGGTCATCGCTCTTCTCGATGTTGCTTTGTTCTCTAGATTGAATCATATCCATAATTTGCTCGCTACCTATCTGTCTAATATTGACAATCGTAAACAAACGAAGCAATTAATTAACGATGCACGCAGCTTTCGTCGAAACATTAGATCCACCTGATTTTATTATGATGAGACACTTACTTTCATCAACGTCATCTACTGTGCCAACTACACCCTATCAACATCGATCGATGACTACTACTACTACTACTACTACTACTACTACTACTACTACCCGGGACAGCATGATTCATACCACTGCACTCATTTCTGCTCTATCAAAATCAACATTGACTATGAGAAAACAAATCATGTCATCTACAACGAACACGACTAACACTTCAACTTTGTATGATCTGTCAAGTGATCATCAAGTGAACAATTCAATTGAACAGTTTTTACGTTCTACTGTGGAATCGATTCAACAGCCTGAATCGTACATTTGGCAATACGTGCTCTATTTCGTATTAGTATGCATTCTATTGATTATCTTTCGAATAATTACTTGTCGTTTGTGTGCCTGTTATCGAACGCACTGTTATGTTTACAAATATGACGTTAACAAAAAGCAAAGTAAGTCATCAGGGAAAGCAAAAGCATTTGCTCCTCTATGCACATGATGAACTTATTGAAGGCAATCCAATTTCTTTCTGTCTAGAACCTCATATATCTACAGATGGTTCAACAAACGGTGAGATAAATAGTAATAATATTAATCTTGGAAACAATCATCCCTTATCAACAGCATCAAAGCAAACGTCGTCGCCTGTCAACACAACGATCACATTTCGAAGTTGATTCGTGATCAACACTCACGTTTACTAACAGAAATAGATCATGTATATGCATAATCCTAAGTTTATCCTATATACCGTAGAAGTAGTAGTAGTAGAAGCCGATTAGAATTTTTCTTTCTATGTTGCTTTCTCATCTATATTACATAATAAACGAATTTTTCAAATCTGATGTCTTTACAATTGAACGACGAAGAAGACATCGACGATTGTTTACGTGCTTGCCTTTATTTCATAGTTTTTCTTTAGATAAATTTTCCATCATCTCTATTTACCATGTCATCAACACCAAGTGCAATGTTAAGTGGTCAACAACAGGTGATAACAGAATGCTGTTAATGAATGTTTTGTTTTTTTTGTTTCTTTTTTCCTCTTTAATATTCTAGAATGAAGTTTTACAAGATTTCACGGACGCATCCAGTGATCTTCCATGGAATTACAAAGACAAAAATGAACCCATGGAAAGAAATCGAGTAAATACAATGAGAGGAATTATTCAAGGATATATCCTACTATTGATTGTATTTTCAGCGAGTGGACGACGAAAATTTATCACAACAAATGCAACAGTTATCTACAGATGTAGTAAATATCAATAACTCGTTACCTAACGAGATTAAAACGAAACTCGAAACAATTCCTAATTATTTAACAAAACGACATAAACCATTTATACAGATTCTCCATCAAATATTATCGACGATGAAAATAGGTACTGCAGCGAGTAATATGGATGATTTACGAAAAACAGCCATTTCAATGTATAAAATTACGATTATTCAAATATATCAATTGCTATGGACGACATATTTCAAATCAGGAACGGGACAATTAATTCATCAATCAACTCAAAATGAATCGATTACATATCCAACCAATGTATCGATATGGCCAAACGAAATCAGAGCAATGCTACAAGCAATCGAGACGGTGAAGAACACGAATGTTAATCATGAAGCTTATTTAGAATTTATGAATTCACATCTCCATGAATTAGATAATCATTTAAAAAAGTCTCAGCTTGAATTGAATGATAAAATCAAATGTTTTCAAGGTTATACCTTGACGATTCACACACATATAGGAACCTACCTTGAACAACATCTTCATTCTTTCCGCATGGAAATTGAACATAAAATAGAACTTGTTCATTATGATTATCACATTCACGCACTCGACTTAGAATACTGTCGACTTAATCCAAATATTCATCAAGTATGTGACACACTCTCGTTGTGTATGATTTAAAAGAAAGCTATCCTCTTCCCTTTTATTTTTTATCCTATTTAGAAAAAATTAATGAAAAGTCTTTGTGAAAGTAAATATGAACAAGAAACAGTAGAACAAGAGCATAACTTATTAAAACAAAAAATTGATTATTACAATTCACCTAGTCAATCATTTGAACATTCGTCTATAGCACAATCAAAATTAATTGAATCGATTCAAAACGCAGAGATTCGACAACACTTATATAATCAATATCGAGATACAGCTTTACAAGCCAGAGCTAGTTTATTTCAATTGTATCTTACAACAGCTGAAGATGAAAAGCAGGAATTCCAAAAGAAATATGAAGAGAATATGAAGCAATTACAAAGTGATGAACGTTTTATCAATGGCAATGCAGACTTTTCTTCGATTCTATTTCAAATCATCCATGAACGTTGTGAAAAGATTAGTGAACGCATTAGATGTGTCTACAAATTCAAAGCTCAATCTGTACTCCATAAAACTACATAATTCTTATATTGATTCAAAATACTTTTAAAATATATATATAATCACTTACATATTATACTTTTTCTTTTTTGTTTACTTTCAGATAAACTCAAATAATTCTATTATTTTTACTGAATAATGGATATAGATAACAGCAATATCCACGAACAAAATCAATTATTAAAACCACAACAACAGAAGAAAAGATCTCATGGCAATCGAAGAGATCAACGATTTCGACGAAAATGTCGTCAACGTGGAATGAGATCTGCCAAAATAGAGAAGGTACTCCAAAAACTAAAGCATGTGAAAAAGAACAAGAAGAAGAAAAGTCGAGTGGAAAACTATATGGAAGAAATGGTACAATATGATCGAGATTCATCAATAATAGTACCATCTACTATATTAAAACAATCAACAACAACAACAACTGTCACAGATTTGAACAAACGTAAACGAAATATGTCATATCAAGGTTTAAATTCATATTCTACAATGCCAAAATCAGCAAGTTCAATATCTATACTGCAACCATTAACGAAAAAGACCAAGCAACATATGACCACAACAGTAGTACCAATAATAGTTGAAAATAATAATAATAACAACAAAACTATGAACCAAATCTATCGGTTTGTTTGTCATTTTTATAAGATTCTTTTATGTTAGATTTATTTTCTAATAGACGACCAATGTATCTGAAACGATCAACTTGGATGTTATTTCAATCTTTAAGTAATATATTAAATCATCCATTAAATGAACAAAATAAACAACACTATATTTATACACGTCTGGAGATATTGGATCAAAAATATTGGTTGGAAACGAATGTAAAATTATGGGAAGCTTTCTTAGACATCGGTAGTAGAGAGCACCAATGGCCAGTAAGTAGTTTAAAGATTAAACATTCTTCTTCGTTTTTTTCTACTAACTTACTGATTATCATAATAGAATAAAGTTCAACAAATGTCTCAAACAGATAATTTCGAATTATGTCATCAATACATCATGAATTATATAGAAGATTTTAGAAAACAAATCAATCACTGTGAAAAAGAACTAACAACACAACTTACTTCATATCCAATAATGCCTATCACATTTCAACAAGTTGATACTTGTTTGAATGAATATGTCGATTCTCAACGAAAATATTTATTAAAACGCAATAATGACCAATTGACTGAATTTCAAAATGATATTAATGCAAATAAATTATATGAAACAATTATGAAGTCGCATCCTAATATGAATCAAGTAAGAACAAGTTTTGATTCGAAAGATACAGATTTTGTTTCTTCTTTAAGCATCAATACATTGATCAATTACTTAATATCCGACAAAAGCAAATGGAGATTTTCGAAGAACTTTTACAGTTCGAAATGCACATTCTTTGTAAGTTTCTATCATCTGAATATGATCATCTAGAAAATGTAGTGGCACCAGTTACTTATACACCTTTGAACAGTAAACCAAAATCTGTTGAATTAAATAATAAACGTTACAAAATAATACAAGATGCAAAACATCAATGGTTACATATCTCTTTATCTGTCTATGAAATTAAACTACAAGAATACAATCAACAATATGAACAAAATGTATTAGAATTCGAATCTAAACTATCAAATTATACAAGTACATCTGGAGTGTCTTTATTGACTGATACTCATCAATATCTAGGATATCGAACAAATCAATTAAAACAATCAATTTTAAACAAAATGTCTGTTTTTCGTAAAAAATTACTTCAACATCGTCAAAACCTGTCAGCAAATAATCCTATTATTGGTGTATCACCTGAGCCATATCTTGATCTCGATTATAATCCATTTACTAAACGTGAATGGCAATATCTTTCACTTGGTAAGAAGTAGTATTTTCGAGAAGAAAAGCATCAAATGTGATTTTTCTAGGTCCATCTTATATACGACCAAATCAAAGTGCACTTCGGCCTCGAAAACAACAACTAATTGAAATTAAAAATGGACACAAAGACATATTCTCTAAAGTACAAAATAATCTGGTAGAATATCATCATATACCAAGAACACATGCAATTTTTCAAGAATATTCTCATGAACTATTGAATTATTTGAACAATTGTTATATGACACCATTACCATATAAAGATCACATTCAAGCTCGAGAACAATCACAAATTACTGTGTCTATTCGGAATAAAATTAAACAAAACAAACTTATTATTCGTGTTACTGATAAAAGTAATAATTTTTACATTGGATCAGCCATTGAATTTGAAAAGAAAGCTCAACAATATTTCAATGATACAGATGCTTTTACAGAATTAGCAATAAATCCATTGAATGAAATTATGAATAAAGTTACTCAAAAACTAAATTATTTTCATTCGAAAAAACTCATCTTGAAATGGCAATATGACGAAATGTTACCTAATCGAACAACAGTTGAATTAGCTCATTTATATTTCAATCCTAAAACACATAAAGTAAGATAGAAATTTTATCATTATTATGATCGCTTCTACTATTTATATTGAAATAGGATAATATTCCAGTTCGACCCATTGAAAATACAATTCATGCACCAACGACAAATATATCCAAGTTTTTAGATAAAATTCTACGACCAATATTCGATGATAAATGTGCTTTAACAACGATTATTGATGGTGCTCATCTAATCACTGCCATGAAAACATATGCAAACAAAGGTCTCTTAAAACCAACAACATTTTTCTGTACATTTGATATTCGTAATTTATACACAATGTTACCTCAAGATGAAGCATTGAATATTCTTATTGAATTTCTCTATGTACATGGATATCGCAAAGTAAAAGGAATGGCACTTGATACAATTCGAAAGTTAGCAACAATTGTATTGAAAGACAATGTGTTCGTCTATGGTAATAAAATCTATCAGCAAAGAACAGGTGGTGCAATGGGTTCATCATTTACTTTAACTTTGGCTAATATATTCATGTGGAAATGGCAAAAGGAATTTGTTCGTCGTCAAGATATAACAGGTGAATTCTACGGCCGGTAAGTCATTTCAAAGACAAACAATAATGATTGCTTTGTACTATGTTTCTAGATATATTGATGATATTTTCATTACATGGAATAAATCTGAACAACAGCTACGAAAACTGTTAGATGAAGCAAATCAATGGCATCCGAATATCAAGTTAGAGTATAAAATTAGTCGTAGTCTTCCATTTCTGGATGTATTATTAACTAATCATAATGGCATTCTTCTTACATCAGTGTATCATAAACCAGCTGCTGAACCATATGTCGTACCGTTTAGTTCGGATCATCCTCGACATACATTTGTTAATATTATACAAACATCTCTGAAAAGAGCTGTTCAATATTCATCAACATTTGAAGCATTCAATGATGAACGACGTCGCATCAAACTAATGCTATTATATAATGGGTAAGTATTAATATGTATGTATACAAAGTGCATCAGTCTATATATAAACTATGTAGTTATCCTTCATCCTTCATTGATCAACAATTTCACAAGTTTTTTAATGAATACATTTACGCAACATCAATATTATCATTTATTGAAAATGAATCACAATACTATCTCTTACATCATGACATACTCGGTCAACCAACACCACAAAAATCACAAGTAGCATCGAGAGCTACTATGGCGGATGTTGATAATGATCAAGCGAATGCTACTACAGAAACTATAGCAAAAGAATCAATCAAAAACATACAAAACAAACCGATTAATTATGCTGATCGACTGTTTCTTCACTATACTCATGAGAAAAGGTTTCATCCTCTTAAACGAGGCATGCACCATGTCTACGAGAAAGTCTACAAATATACACCAGCTATGGATCTTAAATTAATTGTGGGTAATCGTAATCGTCGTGACGCAACACATGAACTAGTTCGAAAACGACCAAAACGATCTTTGTTACGATGCAAACAGATAAAACAGAAATACATTAAACTATTGAGTAAGACAAACCTTTTCTATTCATCAATCTTTTCCATGTCAATTTCTCTTATATAAATAGCGAACAAACAATAACAAATGCGTCTTTTTAATCGGACTCTATAGCTGTATCTCAACAAATGCTGTTGTTCTTATTGTCATTAAACGTCTTATACGAAAAGATTTCTATTACCTTTTGCTCCTTAGCTATCAATTCATGTCGAACTGCCATTTCATGAAAATCGTTTTTATTCCAGATATTTTGCCTTCATTACATTTACTACATCACCATCATAAATACAACAACACTGCCAGAAGTAAATCTTCAAACATGTCAATCATATTAATATTACACTGTATACTTCCAAGGATTATGATAGACTAATTCAACTTTCAAACAAACAGACGATCGAAAACGTTCCTCAAGACTTCAACAAAAAACTAAATAATAATTATTACTTAACGAAAACATGTGTACAGATTTTTTCTTCGTATAACTAGTTGCCCACCGTCAAATACATAATTTTCATCCTGCTCTTCGATTTAAGATCATTATTAATTCTTTAAAGCCATCTGATGAACTTCTTAGCAGAAGTGAAATCTAGATAATGGCAGCTAGTCTCACCACTGGGTATTGTAATTACTATTACATATCTTGTTGTCATTTCATTTGATGACAATATGTAACTATGTGATTAAAAGAATTTGATTTTGGTCTTATTCGTTTAAGATCATTATTAATTCTTTAAAGCCATCTGATGAACTTCTTAGCAGAAGTGAAATCTAGATAATGGCAGCTAGTCTCACCACTGGGTATTGTAATTACTATTACATATCTTGTTGTCATTTC